AGGGCTCCAGCGGCGCTGCCGGGCGCGGCGACGCTTCGGGGCCGGGCCTCGCACCGCGGTGCCGGGGTGCTGACGTTCGGCTGAGGCCGGGACCCACGCGGACAGCGGCATGTCGTCGCTCGCGCCTGGGACCTATGCTTTCGTGCAGTACAACGACCCGGCCGACAACGGGCTCTGGCATGAGCGCTTGATCTTGGGCTGGGTCACTGCATCTGAGTACATCGTGATGACCCCAGATGGGGATGTCTTCATAGAACAGCTCGACTCGGCGAACGCGGACCTGTCAGGTATCCGTTTTTCGCCGTCGTCGGGGGGCCTACCCGCTGGCCTCTCGGGTGCGCCGCTCTACCGCTTCGCGGCGCAGCCTGCTGGGGCCGAGCTGACGGCGCTGCTCAACGAGGGGGCCTCTCACGCCCGCGTTGAGCGCCAGGCGAGGGGCTTGGCGCAGCCGCCCGGTGCGGGCATGGCCGGCGGCCCGGGCGGCATTGCCCCGGCGGTGGTGCCGATCCCGCTGCCGGTCGCGCCGCCCCCGGCGGTAGCCGGCGCGCCCCCGCCGCCTCCGCCCGCCCCGAGGGTGGCGCCAGCCGCGGGCAGCTGGGTCTTCGACGTCCCCGGCCCCTCGCACGCGATCGGGCAGGAGTTTCTCTTCCCTGCGGGCGGGCTGGACTTCGGGGGCCATGTGTTCGTCTCGGTCGGCGGGGCGATCACCACGGGCTGCTTCGTCCAGGCGGACACGAACCTCGACGAGTGGGCAGCGGAGCGGCAGCTCTTCCTGATGCAGGGCGAGCCGCGTTTGCTACCCCGGCGGCAACCTGCGGGGCCGGTCCCATTCACCCGCGACGCGGCGTGGCTGCGCAAGGACGCCCGGGTTGAGATCCACCTGAAGGGGCCGCCGACCATGGGGGACTCGGTGACCGCGCTGATGGCGCGGAGTCCAGGGGGCTTCATGTCCTCCCACGAGCGCTGGCTGGTAGAGAGCAAGGTGCCCGCAGCCAGCCGCTCGGCCCGCGAACATCGAGCGGTCTCGAAGGCGCTCGAGCTCGGACAGGAGGTGGACGGGATGAACCTGGCGAGCCTCGCCTGCATGGAGTACCTCAACAGGCGCCGCCAGCTGCTGGAGGAGGCCCACAAGACCGACCCGGACAAGGGCAACTTCGAGGGCGCCCACCACTTCATGGGCGAGGATGACGATGGAGCGGGCACCCTTGTCGCCCCGAGCCTCCGCTCGCACGTGGCCGGCGAGTGCGGCAAAGAGGCGGCCATCGAGAAGGAGAGACGCAAAGCACGAGAAGCCAAGAAGCCACCTCCCGGAGGTGGCGGGAAATCATGACCGACTTGAACCACGACGGCGCCTTCGCTGGCGGCGCCGCCGCGGCTTTGAAAGACCAGCTTTTTTCGGAGGAGGGAGTGGCCCCGCCTTGGGGCTGGCCGGACGCGCAGCCGCCCGGTTTCAGGCCGCCGCCGGGACTTCCGAGGCCGCCCGGCTGCTTGGACGACCTCTTCCCCCTCCCGCTGCTCGACCCGCAGGAGGCCGATTGTGGCGGCTCCGGCCGCGCCCGCACCGGGCAACGAAGAAGATGCATCCGTCGGGACGTGCTGAGTGACGTGAACGACTCGCTGATGGGCCTCAATGCTCTGTACGGCTGCAAGCGCTCGTCGGTTATCGCGCCCACCGAGGCGCAGAGGCTGGCACAACGGAGGTTGCTCCGTTCCGCTCGCTCTGCCCGACAAGTTTTTCCAGATTTATTTAACATGAGTCCCCGTGAAGCTGCCAGTGAGCTTCTGGGATCGCGCCTCGATTATCAGGGATCGGTGACGACGGTCGTCCCGTACCGCGCCGACGCCCTGTCTTTGCCCCCCGCAGGACGACAGCCGGTCAGCCTTCAGGGCGTTCTCGACCCTGATGCTGCGCACGCGCTTGCTAATTTTGAGAGCCTCCTGGCCGAGCCTGAGGTTCGTCAGGCCCGGCGGGAGGGGGACCCGGTCCGACCCTACATGGACGCTGTGCTTAAAAATGATCGGGCCCAGTATGTGCAGTTTTTGGGGCAGCTCGCGAGCTGCCATGTGCTCACCTCCACCAGGACTAAGAAAGCCTCTGTCACCCCGTTTTTCGTGACAGAAAAGACCGACAAGATTCGGCTCGTGTTAGAGTGTCGTGAATCTAACCAGTATTTTAAGCACTCTCCCTTTACGGAGATAGCTGCGGCGGAGAGCCTCAGCTCGTTGGAGGTCCCCGAGGGCAGGCAGTTGTACAGTGCATGTGCTGATATCCAGTGTGCATTCTATCAGTGCGGAGATATAGGAGATCTATGCCAGTACTTCTGCCTCCCTAAGGTGACTCGGGCCGAGGCTCACCGCGCTGGTATCCCCGTGAAGGACCTGGGTGGCACGAGGGACTTCGTGTACCCGGCGATGCAGGTGCTTCCGATGGGTTGGTCCTGGGCCTTCTGGTTCGTCCAACGTCTTCACCTCGAGGTGGTGCGGAGGTCGGGGGTCCCTT